CATTCACACTAAAGCCTCATGGTAACGTGCAACAGGTACCATGTCTTTTCACAAGAAGGAGCTTACAAAGAAAAAAAATTCAGGTTTAGTGTCAAGTTTTAAAGGTTTAACGATGGGTAAGTTACAGATTTAGATACCACCACTAAGTATAAAAGCAAACAGACTGCATCGTTTCTCCTTGGAGCAGTGTCAAATGTTTGACTGCAGAACAAACAAAGGTAGCTCCTGTTAACCATAATTCAAAGGAAGAAAGCAGGTAATAGGCTTTGAGCAGACAGCTAAAAGGTGTCTCAGAGATGATACTCCAGCTTTCTTACCTCCATCCTCTTACCCTGATCACAGCAATACAAACACCTTCCCTTGTCCAGTCTCTGTTTCCATAGCCACCTACCCAAGCCCACCTCCTCCTAGCTCTCCAAAATATTACTGCATCCCCTAGGATCCCAAAGCAGCTATGCACAAAGAACCCAACAGTTTCAATGTGATCCTTTTGATTCATGCAATTTATCCTGTTGTTATGAAGTTACACCTACTTCAAAATATACACATGTACTCCCAAATGAAAAAAGTAGGAATAATTTGTATATCATAATCAGCTATTCATTGCGTTTCTTTCTTTTCATAAGGTTGTACCATAAATGGATCACCTTGCGCACATAAGAATACCCTGTATATCCATCACAAGCTCTACATTAGCACACCACAAATATTCTGCTAACTTTGTCCACATTATCCATTGATTTGTGCAAGAGGACAACCTATTTTCATGCCATTTTTGTCTGCTGCTGGATGCCAAGTTCTATAGCAACAATTTTTCCCTGATTACTGGCATTTGTCAAGTCTTCACAAAGAGGTGATGAAGTTGTCTGTGATACCCATGTTAATTTTAACTCCTCATGACAGAGGTAAATATATCGTACCAAAGCACATAACCAAACCCCAAAGAAAAGCCTTATACTAGATTTTAATGTAATGATTTTCAAACTGAGGTAAAAGAATCGAAAATGAAAGGCTTTTTTCAAGATTAAAAGGAATTAAAATTATATCTTAAACAAAGAATTCAACATAAGCATGAATATACAAAGAACCTGAAATCTAAAGGCATCAAATATGGCCATCTTCTATTAGTGACAAAAATAAACTAAGTGTTAAAACAGAAAAGGCACTGCACCTGTCAAAAGAAACTCCTTTATAAGGCAAAAGGCTGAAAAATTAAAATCAGCGTTTAAAACATGACTTTAACATCATCATCCCAACAAACTAGTTAATATAAAAAGACACCTTGTGGAAGAAAAGAATGCCTTCTCAAAAGCTCTGTTCCATGAAACTTGACAAGTGACTAATTCCAAGAAAAGATGCATTTTGCACCAATTACAATGCAAACCACGGACAAACAGTCCTGTTTGCTGTGGATCAGTTTCTTTCTAAAGAGTTTGACCTGAAACTACTAGCAACTTTGGAGGAAAACATGTAGGCAGGACATCCTTAGCAAGAAGGGAGTGAACTACCTGGCAGAACAGTTTGACATTTTAAAGAAAAAGAGTGAAAAATAAGGCAATTTCCATTTAGAGCCTGGTGGTTCTACTCAATTACAATGTAAGTAACAAACAGAGCATTTGTTCTTCTCATTAAGGAAGTTACAAGTATCACAGCTCATCTAACAAAGATGTCGCCCAAGAAACACCGTCATAGCAATTACAGTGGAGCTGATTTCCCATCCTATTTATGTTTTTATACACTTGTCATTCCCTGACATCAGCACCATGATTCATTCCTGGGAGGCATCATGCTTATTTCAAACTGTTTGTCAGCTCAGCTGAAAGACCTCTTTCCCTGCTGAAGTTAAGTAGTTAGGAGGATCCTGCCCAAATCCTTAGGCATACTTTCTGCATACAGAGATAAAGACAGCAGATAAGAGCATTTTGTTAGCAAGGTGAGCTCTAGATTCCTCAGTAAACCCCATCAGCAATAACAGGGGATGAATCAAGCAATTCTGTTCAGATGATTCATGCAGGTGCAGAGGATTTCTACACAGTCAGCTTTGCCAGCATCTTATGTAAGGCAGCTGGTAGATAAAAGTCTCAGCCTTAACAATTACTAGACTAGCAATGTTATTCCTAGTTGAGCTAGTTTGGCAGAGGGATGTTTTCCTCCCTTTGAAGGGCTGCCCCATCCTACTTATGTAGTTTCATCCCTCCAGTAATACCATCCCCACATCACAACATAAAAGAATTACTACATGATTGTCAGAAAGATGCTTGTGTCAGTGGTTCATGATTGAGGAGATTTCGATTTATATTAATTCATGGTAGATTATTATAACTTCACTGCCATGCCCTGCTTTCTCTGACTAGTTAAAGGACAAACAAGCAGCAGCACAGAAAGATGTGTGCACACTCTAGTGAGAAAAACCCTACAGAATACAAGAACATAAGTAAATATCACAACAGGTAACATCCAAGTTATTTAGAAAAATTTACAGGAGCAAGGGACAAATAAGCTGTCACATTTGTAACACAGAGCAAGATCCTTCTTGTCCAGGTGATAACTACATAGAAGAAAAAAACAAAGCACAAACAAGAGGAGAAGTCTTTTAGAATAGGCAACTTAGCAATGAAAACTCATCTGTATGTACTTACAGGTTCTTGTAATTCTGCTTCATCCCAGCCTCCCCAGCCACCATCTTCCCAGCTGGTTGACTTGCCTGCTTTAAGCAAAGAAAGATTTGTTACTTGACTGAAACAGCACATGAGATACAGCATAAGCAATGAAAAACACAATCAAAAAGGATTGCTGGTGGTTGTTTTCATTTCCCCGCCAATAAGTTCATTTATGGCAGTTACCAAATGAACTCTACAGAAAGAAACATGAAGTGGCAGAAATGGCTGTCCTACTTCTCTGCATTTACTTCCAGTTTTGACACTATTGACAAGCAATACCAGAAGATGCAACCTAAGTACAATGTGGAAACAGGACAAATTGTAAATTAACTCTGACAGACTGCATCTAAAGCCCTTGCTAAGTAATACCTTACGGTCCCTGGTGCAATACACCACTGATCCTTCAACAGGGACTCTCTGCTTTTTAGAACAAATTATTCAACCAAATATGTTTTTTCTCGGCTTCTCATAGACACTGAGGGAGAGCCAAGACATATTTCAAGTTCAATACATCAAGCAAAAAGTGAGGGCATAACAGGGGGAAACTCTTGTGTCCACTTGACAAAAACTTTCTCCAGTTGGTGCAGAGACCTCAGACATCACTACAAAATTTGAGCTTTAGCTGCATTTATCTAATTACTACTCCAAACACAACAAAAGTCCCATCTTGTATGTATGAGGCAGCTACAGAGGGAAAGTCAGGGAACAGCAGGCTCACTCCTGTCAGGACTTCAGATATTTCACTACGTGGCGTAAGATGATCTTTAACACACCATAAGAACAACATATGCTCAACTTTATGAGAAACAGTATTTCTGTACATAAGTAAAATATATTCCTTTCCACAGTGGTGGATTTCGGTTTGGTTTAAGTCAATTGCTGGATCAGCCAGTAGCAATGTAAGTTTCAATACCTGAAAGGTGCCTACAAAGATGCTGGAGAATGACTTGTAGTGATAGGACAAAGGAGTGATGGGTTTAAACTTGAACAGAGGAATTTCAGGTTAGATATAAGGAAGTTCTTTACTGTGAAGCTGGTGAGGCACTGGCACAGGCTGCCCAAAGGCTCCATCCCTGGCAGTGCCCAAGGACAAGCTGGACAGAGCCTTGGGTGACATGGCCTAGTGCAAGGTGTCCCTGCCCATGGCAGCGGGGCTGGAAATGGATGATCTTCAGGTCCTTTCCAACCCAAACCATTCTATGATTTTAACAGGGAATGACAGTACATGGAAATTCATTTGTGACAACAAAACCTCTGAGGATAACGCAGATCTCACCCGCACTCCTAAAGCAGCCAAAGCAAAAAGTTGAAGCTGTGGCCTCTAAGGGGAAAATGAGCACAAGGACCTTGGCTATTCACATCTTTGCAAGACAACAGAGGAAAATGAATGAGACACTGATCAGCTTTAACTATCTCGTTCAAAAACTGCAGGCTTACAAAATACCTGAAACACCTGAGAAGACTGAAATTCAGCCACAGGCTACTTCTTAGTTGCCTTAAAAGAGTGAACATATTGTATGAACACATCTAAAATTCCTTCATCTAAAAATCCCAATTGTGATGTGGATTTAATTATTCTATGCAAAGGGTAATTTTGCACAGCAATTTAGAAGTAGAAGATGTACAGTTCTCAAAGACCATCATTGGGACCCTCAAGAAATCAGTGCACTGACCTCCATCTAGAAGCACTAGCATGAAATCTGAAGCATCAATTAGATTTCAAGATTTCTCCAAAGATTTCTTTCAAGTTTTTCATTAGCTTATGTCATGGCTACTTTGACCTGTTTCCTATCCATATCAATTATTTTCAATTTAGTCTCAAGCAAGTAAGATTTTGCCATTTTAGGTGGTCAAACAATATGAGCAAGAAGGTTTGTACCCAGAACACTCCAATTTTATTTGGTCTAAAAACTCTGGTTCCTTTACCACCAAAGAAAGGCAGAATCCAGTATAACAGAAATCTGTATTCTGGCTGTTTAGGCAGATTTTTAAACTATTGTATGGCTAAGAAAGACAAAAAATATTAGCTTAAGAAAGAAATTTTCCACCAATGCTGTTGAGAAGGTATTTCATGAGACTGTAGAAGACAAAATGCCCACTCCATGAGTAACCTGTGTTAAAATGGAAAGGTCTGCACCACCTATAAACTGGATGAGTCAGTTTTACAGCATCGTCATCAATACAGATCTGACTGCAGTTATTTCAGGCATAACCAAGGCGCAACCAGCTTCCAAGGGTCACATTCTAATCTTGTATTTGGGGTTGAGAATTTTCCAGTGTGCAAATTGTCGTGGTTTAAACTCAGTAAGCCAGGCAGTTTGGCCCCACTCCCCACCTCCTTCCTCCCCCCGCTCCCGGAGGGATAGGGAAGAGAATCAAAAGAATGTAACTCCCACAGGCTGAGGTAAGAGCAGTCCAGTAACTAAGGTATAACACAAATCATTACTGCTACCACCAATAATAATAATGATAAGGGAAATAACAAGGGAAGAGAATACAACTGCTCACCACCTGCTGACGGACACCCAGCCCGACTGAGCAGTGATCTAGCTCTTCTGGGTAACCGCCCCCAGTTTCTATAGTGGGCATGATGTGCTGTGGTATGGAATATCTCTTTGGTCAGTTTGGGTCAGGTGTCCTGTCTCTGCTTCCTCCCAGCTTCCCCTCATCCCTGGCAGAGCATGAGACTCAGAAAGTCCTTGGTCAGACTAAACATTACTAAGCAGCAACTAAAAACATCGGTGTTAACAGCACTGTTCCCAGGCTGAAAGTCAAAACCACAGCACTGCACCAGCTACTAAGGAGAAAAATGACTGCTACTGCTGAACCCAGGACAGTATCCACCTCTTATTCCGTACCACTCACATCATGTTCAGATCCCACATTTTCAATATACCATCACTCTTATCTCATATATATGTATATACACACATCCACAGAGAGAGAGAGATCATTCCTTAGTGCATGGATGAATCCCTATAAAGCTGCTGAGTCCATCTGGTTCACGATGATGGGATCCATCTCTTGTAACAGTCTTTCAGAGCAGGAGAGGCTGTGTGCAGTGTTCACACTCATGAATAACCTGGGCTATAGTGTCTACTGCTAAGTTCACCCCTCAATCATGAGTCCATCTGTACATTGCATCTCTACCCTGATGGTCTGAAGTGCCATGGGCCCACCAGGGTCAAAATAATTCACCGTCCCCTTCAGCAGTTTCTGCAGCTTTTTGCTGGGGACTCCATACAGCTGCCTTCCATGTCCGACGCTTCCAAAGCACTGGCAGAGCTCACTGGCCTAGATACTTGCCCATGCTGACCCACATACCCTGCCACTCATGACTGTCCAGCCTCGGGGAAAATCTCTTGGTCCTCCTATATCATCGTCTAACCCTAGACAAGGCCCAAACCCAACTCTGCTCAGCTCCTGATATCAGAAGAAATGGTAGTGGGTAAAACACACTCTGCATGCCTGCCACCAGGGTGACCCCTATCACAATCAGCAGGCAGGTCTCAAGGGTACCCAAAGGCCATTCAAAACCTTCAGAACTCTCAAATGATGCTGCTGTACTTGTCGCTGGGGCTGGTGTAGCTGCTGTACTTGTCACTGGGGCTGGTGTAGCTGCTGTGCTTGGAGCTGGAGTAGCTGCATTATCTGCTGTGGTCGGAGTTTGAGTAGCTGCTGCACTTGTTACTAGGGTGTGTGGGAATGTTTCCCTCATAGGCTGACCAGCCAAGGAGCAGAAAAGATATTTGTAATTGCTATACACTTCTATTACATACCTCCCAAAGCATAGAGGTGGTGACCACATTGGGAACGCAAGCCAGATCAATTTCATGATCAATTATTCTATTGTATTACAAGTCATTACCATAAAGTACAAAGAAACAAGAACCTTAGCCCAAGGTCCCCAGCCAATAAACACTAAAACAGCAAATACCAGCTGTAAGTAAGGTATGACATGCTGGAACTGCGAGATCATGAGCAACAACTTTGAGAGCCAATAAATCAGCATTATGACGAGTGACTATTAATCCAAACCAATTAATGCTTAGCACAAATACGATTAGACACCCTCAGGTCAGATCTGTCATTATCTCAACCCTTCGAGCCCCACGCTGGGCGCCAAAAATAACTGTCATGGTTTAAACCCAGTCAGCCACACAGTCTCCCCCTCACTGCCCCCCCTTTTCTCCCCCCACTCCCAGAGGGATGGGGAGGAGAATCAAAAAGAATGTAACTCCCATGGGTTGAGATAAGAACAGCCCAGTAATTAAGGTACAACACAGACCTACTACTGCTACCACCAATAACAATAATGTTAAGAGAAATAACAAGGGAAGAGAATACAACTGCTCACCACTCACTGACCGACACCCAGCCCAACCGAGCAGTGACCAAGCCCTTTCGGGTAACTGCTCCCAGTTTACATACTGGGCATGATGTGCTGTGGTATGGAATACCTCTTTGGTCAGTTTGGGTCAGGTGTCCTGTCTCTGCTTCCTCCCAGCTTCCCCTCATCCCTGGCAGAGCATGAGACTCAGAAAAAGTCTTTGGTCAGACTAAACATTACTAAGCAGCAACTAAAAACATCAGTTTTATCAGCACTGTTCCCAGGCTGAAAGTCAAAACCACAGCACTGCACCAGCTACTAAGAAGGAGAAAAATGACTGCTACTGCTGAACTCAGGAAAAAATACATGAAGGAGAATTATGACAAATACTGCTGAATACAAACCACAAGAAGAAAACCGTAAATAGCTTTGATGTTTAGTTGAAGATACCTAACAAAATTCTACTTCTGTTTGCATTCTGTTACCTCAAAAGGCAACAAAATCTCCTTACTGTAAAATTTATGAATAAAGGAAGTCTGTCAGTGTGGCACAGTCCAGAGAGAAACATAACTACATTTAAAAAACAACTGGGGCCACTGGCATCCCTACAGCACAGAGCAGACCAGCCTTCCCAAGAATCTTCAGCCACTTCAATTCTGAGACTGAACATGCAACACCAACCTTCAGCCATGAAGAATCCGGCTGCCTCTTTGTGAATAGCTACATTTTCCTGCTTGTCATCTTCCTTGGATGAAGCAAGATCAATAAAAAAAGGATGGGAAAAATGAGTGAGGCACAATCCCACTGATAAAGCTGCAGAGATCTTTTAGAACTGCGACCTGCTTCTGCAATGCCAGCAGAAGCTGTCAGCCTGCAAAGACTTTTCCATGCACCAGCACCTAGAAAGGCTGGTCAAGCCAGAGAAGACACAGGATCCAAGCTCTTTTTACAATAAAGATTTTACGAAATACCCCATTGTTTCCTTTAGTAACATTACAGAACTTACAGCTGTGGAATGCAAGACATTACCTCATAACCAATACCTAAACAAGGCCAAAACAGTTCTTGACTTGGAATGCGTTCATTTTTTCCAGTCCACTAATTGGAAATCAAACCTCCCTTTGCAAATCTATATTTCCATTCATCTCTCTCTGACTAGCAGCAGATGTCTGGTAAACAGGTCTCCCTACTTAGATAAAGCATCAGCAATATTCCAGATTGTGTGTTACTGCGGAGCTTGCAAAAGTAAAAGTTAATCTACTGCATCTACAAGAACAACTTCGTTCTTTAATTTGAAGTATACTGCTTTAAAACTCCATCATCAGCATATGTGAAACTTTTAAATGCTGCTTTAAATGCTGCACACGTACAGCACTGGTGTTCATGTATAAGAGAACTCAGTTCAAGCACATTTATCATAAACTTAATACACAAAAAAACAAGTCCTTCTGATAAGCATGCTTTTAGAAGACAAGAACAGAGGAGAGAAAAATGCTAGGTCTAGATCAATGAGGTCTAACTGGCATTTAACAAATTCAGTATAAAACATGTTTGTACCCAGTCTAAGACTTCCTCCCCAAATTGCAGAATATCTCTGGGCATAGAAATCTGCCAGCATCCTCCCTTCCAGAGCAGCACAATAACCTGGGGCAGGCACCAACAGCCTTTCCCACCTGCCCTCATGCTTCTGTTCGAGCTCTATGCAGCATGTTACCAAAGGACATGCTTGGCATGGGCTTGTCCAGAAAAGCCTGTATTTGCCAAGTGGGAGAGTACGTGTTGAAAACTGAACCACAAATGTCAAACTACCCCTACCTATATCAGTATGTTTGTCTATGTTTGTTTGGTTTATGATCTTGCAGCTTGTTTCCCATCCATGCTTTAAGAATTTATAAAATTAATACACAATTATTTTTTGCCCTATTACTTAAGCGCAAGAGTTTCAGGTTGTTTTTTTTTTTTTCTCTATTTACTGCAACTCTGATACCATTTGATTGCATAATTACTTAAGAAACAGAAGGAGTTTCTTTTCTTCTCAGGCCAAGGAATTATAGAAATAGTTGAAAATGTTCTTGCTATTCAGTAATCATGAGCCATTTATTCCCAAAGCTCCTCCAACACAAGGACTGACAAATACATTCGGTTTCGACAGCATTACTAGGAAGCCCCTTTTGAGACTAGTTTTACATTTGTGTTATCACTCCAGACAACCATAGGCAGAAAAAAAGAAGACAACACTCAAACTTAGCTCACTGATCTGAAAAAGAAACACTTGAGCAATTTCTCTTCCTTTAGATGGTCACAATTACTTTCAACGGAATAAAAGATGACTAAATTAAAAATAATCCAGAGAGTCTTTAAAGCAATGCTGCAGATCTCCATGGCTTACAGCTGTCAACTCCAAAATCAGTCTGATGTACCATATGGAAAGAATAAAAAACCAAGCAACTTTGTGATGCTATATGGCATAGGAAACAAGCGAACAAGATTGCATTCAAAACAGAGCATTTCAGCTTTCTTTCAGGGGCAACTAATAGCTGAAGTTATAGCAAGAAAGAAGGAAGTTTATCCAGTAAAGGAGGTGCTAAAGCAGCAAAACACTCAGGTGCAAAGATAATTTGGATAGAGTACTCTGACACCATTGTCATGCACATTGAGAGCATGTCATTTAGTCTTTCCTACATCTCAGAATGTATTAACAATTACAGATGTAGCACAATTCAGGTACAGTGCATAGTTTTTATGATATTTTACATGAAAATTGAAATAAAAGAATCTTATCTGTATATCATGCCTTCTGGAGGGGAGAAGCTGATTAAAGAGGGAATACATAAGAGCTTGTCAGAATATTCTTCAATAAGAACATACCAAATTCTCTAAGAAGGATACAGAAATAGCTAAGAATTGTTGCTAAATGCAAAAGAGAATTTGATTTTATAATCTTTTTCTTTTCTTTGTAACCTTGTTTGCAACTCTGAAATAAAAAGCCTGCCTGGCCTTCCGTGTTTCTGAATGAAATTAGTTGATCCAGATAAAACAAAGTGTACAAGCACAAGTCCAAAGATGTTGTTTAGAAGAACTGGGCTGAAGAGCATCTTTCAGGATGCTGCCAGCGTAACAGGGCTAGAGTTTGGAAACGAGTTTCTCCACCAGGCTGAAGCCAACATTCCTACTGTAAAAAGAAGCAGTGAGTGACACCTTATAGCCCTGAGCAACCCTCCGAATCAGA